GTGAAGGGCCCTATTGTTTTTCTAAGGGTTACTCTTGTTGTTGTTCTTTATTTTTATTTTTTGTCAAGGTTTTTGGGGATTTTGGGGCCCTCAACATGCTCAAAAGTTCTTCAAAATTGGCACACACCTTGGAATCTGCGGGCAGAGACTCATCATGATGCCAAGATACGGAAGATGCTAAATTGTGAATGGATGTTGGATATCTTGAACGGTGTTGCCATGGTGGAATTATTATTATTTTTTCTCTGCGACTAAGTGACTAATAAAATTTTGATCGACTAAACCTCTTCTCGATGACTATTAGGGGGCAGCCCTAGTTCTTTATTTGTCATTCTTCATTAGGGCTCAAGCCTCAAGGGGGTGAAGGGCCCTATTGTTTTTCTAAGGGTTACTCTTGTTGTTGTTCTTTATTTTTATTTTTTGTCAAGGTTTTTGGGGCCCTCAACATGCTCAAAAGTTCTTCAAAATTGGCACACACCTTGGAATCTGCGGGCAGAGACTCATCATGATGCCAAGATACGGAAGATGCTAAATTGTGAATGGATGTTGGATATCTTGAACGGTGTTGCCATGGCGATTTATTAAAACAACAGTAAAAAAGGAAACAGTAATTTTCTTATATCTTTAAAGTGCATTATCCAAACACTTCAAAACTTTTTACATATGGAGAACATGTAATTCTGAGGAAACATGCTTAGTTTAATAAATTTACTCTGCTCTGGGGGCTCACAGCAAATGAAAAACGATCAGACATTTCAGCTGACAGGTGAAGGCTGTAATACTAAGGTTGTCCACAAGATGGAGTCATAGGATTAGAAATCTTTTAAGACTTAAGAAAATTCTTATAGACCATCGAAATATTTATAAATCATACCCTCTCTGTGTGTGTGTATCTGTTTCACACTCTTGATATTCTAGAATAACCCCTTCTGGGACAAACAGCAAATTAAAAACTAAGGTTGTCCACTAGATAGTAATTGGATAAGAAGTCATTTAAGCCTGATCTAACTGCTCTGTTCCATTAGTTAGAATGACAAACAAATACATAAAATAAGTTAATATGTACTGTACTGGAAATATAGTTTTCCTATAATTATTTCAATAATGCTTATAGATCATTGAATTAATTAAAATGTTTATAGATAATTAAAAGCTCTGCGACTAAGTGACTAATAAAATTTTGATCGACTAAACCTCTTCTCGATGACTATTAGGGGGCAGCCCTAGTTCTTTATTTGTCATTCTTCATTAGGGCTCAAGCCTCAAGGGGGTGAAGGGCCCTATTGTTTTTCTAAGGGTTACTCTTGTTGTTGTTCTTTATTTTTATTTTTTGTCAAGGTTTTTGGGGATTTTGGGGCCCTCAACATGCTCAAAAGTTCTTCAAAATTGGCACACACCTTGGAATCTGCGGGCAGAGACTCATCATGATGCCAAGATACGGAAGATGCTAAATTGTGAATGGATGTTGGATATCTTGAACGGTGTTGCCATGGCGATTTATTAAAACAACAGTAAAAAAGGAAACAGTAATTTTCTTATATCTTTAAAGTGCATTATCCAAACACTTCAAAACTTTTAATAAGACTTAAGAAAATTCTTATAGACCATCGAAATATTTATAAATCATACCCTCTCTGTGTGTGTGTGTATCTGTTTCACACTCTTGATATTCTAGAATAACCCCTTCTGGGACAAACAGCAAATTAAAAACTAAGGTTGTCCACTTGATAGTAATTGGATAAGAAGTCATTTAAGCCTGATCTAACTGCTCTGTTCCATTAGTTAGAATGACAAACAAATACATTAAATAAGTTAATATGTACTGTACTGGAAATATAGTTTTCCTATAATTATTTCAATAATGCTTATAGATCATTGAATTAATTAAAATGTTTATAGATAATTAAAAGTTTTGGTAACACTTTACAATAAGGTCTCATTTGTTAACATTAGTTAATGCATTAACATGAACTAGCAAATAACAATATATTATATTAATATATAATGTTAGTAAGTTTTGAACTTAAAATTAACTAAGATTAATAAATGCTATATAAATGTTTCATGTTAATTAATATAGTTTATTAATGTTAACAAATGAAACCTTATTGTAAAGTGTTACCAAAGACTTTTGGTAACACTTATTTTACCAAATATATTGTTCTGTGTGTGCTTGTGTTTCACACTCTTGATGCTACATGGTAACCCTTGCATTGCTGTAACCCTTAAAACCAGACTGCCTGAGGGTTTCTAATGTTAACAAATGAAACCTTATTGTAAAGTGTTACCAAAGACTTTTGGTAACACTTATTTTACCAAATATATTGTTCTGTGTGTGCTTGTGTTTCACACTCTTGATGCTACATGGTAACCCTTGCATTGCTGTAACCCTTAAAACCAGACTGCCTGAGGGTTTCTGTAAATGCATGTGCCTGCTGTGCACCGTTTTCCTGATGCCACCAGGGTAGCAGTTGCACTGGTGGCTTGGGCCCGTCATCGCTGCTTGCAGCTATATTTTCTTTTTTATTTCTTTCTCTGTATTTCATTCTGTTTGTTTTCTTTTTATCTGTTTGTCTTTGTATTTGTCTTTTTCTGTTTTTCTCTCTTTCTCTCTGTCTTTCAGTTTCTTTCTTTCTGTAGCAATGAGTGAGTGGTTAGATTCAGTTGTTGGAGTGCAGTGAGAAAGGAAGTGGCTGAATTGTGGGTTGGCATGAGTTAGAGGATTTGGCAAGCCTCTCTGTTTCTCCCTCTCTCACACTGTTGTTAAGGACTGTGTGTAGAGGTCACATTGAAGAAGAAAAGCAGGTCAGTTTGGAGGAATTGCTTTCCCTCTGCTTTCTCGTGATATCAACATCAAACCTCTCAAATCTCTCTCTTTATTTCTGCCACAATCTCTTGCTCTCATTGTCTGTTTGTTTTTGTGTGTTTGAGCGTAGATGTGTTTTGGCACAGATAATATGCATTAGAGAGCGCAAAAGAGAGAATGATAGAAGAGATCAGATGAGGTTGTGGAGGGAGGGAGGGAGGGAGGGAGGACGGGCATTAGGGAGGTGGAGTCACTGCATCTCAGCTTCACTTTGCTGTTAAATTCCAGCCAAGCGGCAGCCAGTGAAGAGGAGTGGAAAAAAACTGTGGCCTTGAGACAGAAAGAGAGAGAAGGCTGGCGAGGAAAAGCGCGTGAGTTTGATAAATAGAGAGAGAGAGAGCGAGAGGGGAGAAGAAAAAGAGAAGGGCTGCTCTGTTTAGAGACAGAGAAACGACAGCGCAACTATCAGAGGAGAAATGGGGAGCTCATTTCCCTCCCAAAAACCACTCCCTTTTTCTCTATTCTACTTCCTTGCTCTTCCTCATGCTGTTCTGGAGCTCCAATTGCCTCTGCTGTGCATTTCCATGGAAATCATGTGAGCAAAGATGAAAAGACTGATGGAGTGATAAAGAAGAGAGGAAGAGTGGGCTGCAAATTTTCTTTATGCAACACCCTGATTGGACGATCCACAGTGGGCCAATGATGAGGATTTCAATTGGATGTAGCATTGGTACATGCTCTTGAATTACCAACGCTGATTGGACAGCGTTGTCTTATTGGAGTACTCTTACATTTGGAGATACTGGACAAAATGCAATGTTTTGAAATTGAAGGTGGATGAAACCTTAATTTCAGGAAGTTTAGGACAGTGTTTGGTCCTTCACTGGATTTAACAGCTACTTTGACATTTGTTGGATTGGGCAAGAATGGAGTTTCCTTGACTTTTGACCTGTTATATAGAAGTACTTCTGGGTAATGTATAAATTGCAATGCAGGCTTTTATTTAAGCAGTCTTTGCACTGCAGTGTCTGTGTGTGTTTGCCATGTTACATAGATTAGGATGTGCATGCATTTCTGACAAACAACTGGAAGTTTGAAAAATAAACAGACAGAAACAAGGATCAGAGATGGTGAGGATAAGCATACAAATCAGACTTCAAATGATTTCTTGCTTTGTTTGTATATCACTAAGGGCATTTTTTATTCAGCTCCATGCACTCTTCATTTTATCTCTCCATCTCATTCTCTCTGTCCCTGTCCAAGCTACACTGACTGTCCTGTAGATTTGATGTGGAGGCAGTAGTGCTGTATTGTGGTCACTAAATCCAAAGCAGTTATTTTGACTGGACAAGATAGGTTCCTAATGTGAAGCTAACCAGCACACATCAACTTGGCTGACGTCTGCTGAGCGTTAGCTTGGTGTTAAATGATTGGGAACAGTTCATGTCAGGCTGTTGCCCCACTTTCCTTCTTCAGACGGCAGCATATGATCTTTGACCTTTCGTTGAATTTTTTCTTAATGACGACGCAAGGCTGGGCAAATGGGAACGCTTGAGGCTTCCGTAACCCAGCACACAGGGGTCTTGTGTGTTAGTGTGTTGATAGATATTGTCTGTTAGACTGTGTAATATAAATCTTATATAAACTGTAACAGCCTTGGTGCTGCCCTATTTTGAGTGCATGTGACTTAGTGGGACACCAAGTAAAAAAATGAGACCTACACCTCTACACTACCGTTAAAATGTTTGGGGTTGTTGTTTTTTGTTAAACCAAGGCTGACCAAGTATTTGACGATAACAGTAAAATCAATAATATTGTGAAATTTTACAGTTTAAAATAGCAGTTTTTTTTTTATTTTAAATAAAAATTGTGATTAATCTGCCTGGCCATTATAGGGGTCTTATCAGCATTTCGCATTCTCTATAATATTGTGAAATTTTACAGTTTAAAATAGCAGTTTTTTTTTTTATTTTAAATAAAAATTGTGATTAATCTGCCTGGCCATTATAGGGGTCTTATCAGCATTTCCCATTCTCTGTATCAATAAATTAAGGGACTTTTTAGTTGTCATGCAGACAATGACATTGTCTTTCGTGCGCTGAAATAACTATGACGATAGTTACTTTATCACTCATAGTTCTGTTCCTGTTTTTACGTTAGTAAAGTGAGAATGTTCCTTCTCTTACTTTCATAGGGCTGCTCCAGTATGGCAGAAATTGGTCCGCAATCGCCAAGATGGTGGGCTCCAAAACAGTCTCCCAGTGCAAGAACTTCTACTTTAACTACAAGAAGAGACAGAAACTGGATGAGATTCTGCAACAGCATAAAATAAAATCGGTCAGTTCTCAGAGAGTGAGGGATTAATTATTTATAATTGTCAGTAGTATTGGTTTCATGTTGTTGTGTTTTTGTGCTTGTGTTTTTTGTAGGAGAAAGAGCGTAAGGCCAGACGCAAAGGTAAAGCTCTTCAGAACGAGGAGGCCAGCGCTCCATCTGCTGAAGAGGAGATGGAGGGATCGGGAGTCAGCGGCAATGAGGAGGAGGCTCAGGAGGATGGAGAGGGTATGGATACAAACACTTGATTCTTGCACATCATTGTGCAGTAACTTCAAACAGTCATTTGTTGCACATGTCTCATTGACTTTGTGTAATGGAAGTAATGAAACTCAGAGTTAAGATCTGAGAAACAAATGAGCTGTATGGTAATTATGTTATCAGCCGTAGCTATGAAACAGTTCACACTGAAACCAAAGACCTCTGAGGTTGTGTGGTTGCCAGGAAGTCCCACAGCAGCTCGAATCAAACAGCAGAGTGCTTTTCTCAGAATATCAGGAACACGTGGCTTCGACTCACCTATGACCTCACCCGTGATACAACCCTGACCTACTTTTGTCAAGTTCTGAGAAAGAGACACTCTCTGCGCAAGCATGAATTGCTTTTCCAGGAGAGCTGCGTATTGTGAAGTTGTTTTTTTTATAGTGGAGTGACCAGACTGTCTGGGTGTCAAAGTGTATGTTGTGCTGTAGACGTAGTTTTGGAGCTGTACTTCCACAAGCCTGCCAGGCAGCTATGAAACAAACGTTTTGTGCTGTGTGTTTGGCAATCAGGTGTGGCTTGCCGATAAATGGCTTTCGTAAGCTTTCATAAAGCCACATTTATCAGGTCAAAGCTTGTGAAAGAAAGCCAGCAAGGGAAGTGCTTATTATGTTATGGTTATTGTGTAATTACATCCAGCTGGGAGAGCACACTCAACGGCTGGGGTTTGTTAAGCCAGTGGGAAAATGAGGCTTATCATAATCCCCTGCTGTGTATTTACTAGTTATGTTTACTTTTTGATTTGACAAAGGGCATGTTAGATTTAGATAAGAGCTTTTCTGTGCCCCTAGATGATTTTAAAATAAAAAAGTTTTAAAGCAATTGTTCCATTTTAAAGGACATGCTATATTAGATTTTGCTGTTTATGGTATCCATTTAATGGATTTTTTTTTTCTTCTTTTTCAAGTGTTTTTTGGGCTTTTAACTTCCTCTTCATACTTTCCTTGCCTAAAAATCATATTTTTGAAAGTTGTCTTTGGTTTTTATATGTGCAATATATATATATATATATATATAAAAATATATATATATTGGAGTGGGCTCACTTGTGTGCGTGCGTGAGCGCGCGCATCGGGCGGAACTCCGCTGTGCGTGATACAGAGAGCGCGACCATAACTAGAGGCTGAAATGACATGCCCTCGTGTAAATAAGATAAATAACATAAGGCTATTTAGTTTGTTTAATAAAAGAACAAGGTATATACCTGTTCCATAGGAAAGGCAACTTTAAATGACTTCTGTTGTGATCTGGCGCTATAGAGAAAATATAATTAAATAAAATTAACTTGACCTTCAAGGGGGGCGGGGGGTGATAAGAAAATTATCACCTCTTTCTCCAAAAATGACACCATTAAACACAATATTAATATACCACCATCACATGCAGTACTGTTGCATTACATTGATTAAAAGTGAGCGTAAGACATTTACAATGTTACAAAAAAATCAGTTTCAAATGTTGTTCTTATGAACTTCCTAATAATCAAAGAATCTTTAAAAGATGCATCATGGTTTTCACAAAAATTATTATCATCAGCACACTTGTTTCAGCATTGATAATAAGAAACATTTCATAAGCAGCAAATCATCATATTAAAATTGATTTCTGAAGGATTGTGTGACACTGAAGACTGGAGTAATGGCTGCTGAAAATTAAACTTCGCCATCCCAGGATTAAATAATATTTTAAAATATATTCAAATGGAAGAGATTTTTTAATTTGTAATATTTCACAATATTACTGCTCTTACTGTTTTTTTTACTCAAATGCAGCCTTAGTGAGCATAAGAGACTTCTTTCAGAAACATTAAAATAAGCTTACCACCCCTAAATTTTTTGAACAGTAGTGTACTTTACCAAAATTGAAGGTATCATGTCCATAATCAGATCTTTATTCCAGAACATGGAAGAAATGTTTTAACATGGATAAAACAACTAATATAGTTTTCAGGAAGCCAGAAGGGCCCCAAATTGAAGAATGAATTGCCTATAAAAACGCCTTGCCAATCAAACCACACTTAACAAATCAGCTGACATTCATGTCTTTCCCTCTTATGACGTTTCCCATCACTTCGTTTTACAGGTGGAGCTAATAACAGCTCAGACACCGAGAGCCTCCCTTCCCCACGCTCCTCTGATGACAGCAAGGTCAAAGAAGAGGGGTCGGCATGGCCCAAAACTGCAACCAATGCCACTTCCTCCTCATCCTCCATGGACAAGGACATGGCAGCTATGGAGACGGGGCCGGAAGAAAAGCCAAAAGTGGAGAAAGGAGAAGGAAAAAAAAAGCAGCCAAGGTACAAGCACAAAAAACACCACGAAAAATATTTTCGAGAAAAGTCTAAATTATCTTTATCAACTATATATATATATATATATATATATATATAAAAAAAAAATTCAATATCACATAACCCTACATTATAGTTGTGATGTTGCAAACATGGTGGTTTTTGAACATCAGATGACTCTGTTTATGACTAAATTTAATTTGAATTCTGTTTTTCATGAAATGAAACTTCATGGCACGTGTATATGTCTTGTATAATGCTTTGTAATGAGCATTTTGTGTCTGTGCTTTTAGATGCCAGAGGTGTCGGTAGCAGGACGTGATAACCGGCCTGGGTTGCTGGGGAAGCAGCAGGCTATGCCCCACGCTCTTGCATTGTACCAGCAGCAGATTACCATGGCACATGAATCTTCCCAGGAGGCCAAACAGCAACAATCACAGCCAACCAAATCTCAGCATAACACAGGGGGTGGAGATTCCAGTAGCCCACGGGTCAGGACTCACAGCCCTGGTGTCTCTGACAGAGAGAGAGAAGGTAAGCTGCTTTCTGTTTTTTATCCCTCTTTTCGTTATCCTTTCATCTATTCCTTCAGTTTGTTTTCCTCCCCAGCTTTCTCAACCACCATCATTTTCCTCGGTTGTGTCTACTACACCAATTAAGCAAGTTCTGATGTGTGTGTCTGTGCACATGTGGAGTGAGTGGTAGTGTGGGTTGTAAATATAGTAAAAATGGACCAGGCACGTGCAGAAGGGGGGGCTTTGGGGACTCAAGCCCCTGCCCTTTTTCAAAATTATTCAAAAGTGCCCCTCTCAGACAAATAGCAATGATATTGTCGTCAATAAAACAAAATGCATTTGAATTATAATTAACCTGACAATGTGTACAAAACAGTAACTAATTGCTCAAAAGTCTGACAATTCCTGTTTATTTTTACATATCTGTCAATCTGAGGTGTTGCTATGGGTTGTGTGCGTTTTGCTTGACTGACTGATATTCCACAGTCTGTTCGGAAACCTAGACTCTCAAGCCATATATGGTTCTTTCAGTGAGTGAATAATCAAAGCTAGTGTGTCGATTTAATTAAAAATCCATGTATTATATATTTTAGAATATTACATAGTTCATCAATGCCTGTTTGTCATGTATAATACACCAACCAATCATGATCTGGCCTAAGTTCAAATTTCATTGGACAATAATGTGAAGTGGAGCTGTCATTTTAGGTTCTTATTTATAAATCAGTTGAAAATTACATGGGGCAGACGAGCTTATTTGTGGAGCGATCTGGATCTGCGGTTTGACTCATATTATAAATCGAATTACATTGCTGAGAAAATGGATGCTAAATGACTACAAAAGCACTGCACAAAACCATGCAGTGCCAAAAGTTGCAATAATGGTAATCAGTGTTCAATTAACTTATATGTATGTATGATACAGCGGTTGCTATTTCATGAAACTATCATAGTTAATTAAGCCCAAGTGCCATCTACAGGCCTATTATGTGAAGTTTAGGCTGGCGAAATGGTGACGTGAAAGGACTATATTATATTACCATTTTTGATAATTATGCAGCATTATCAGGGTTCCAGACTCATTCTTCCCACTGGACGTTCTTTTGCGACTAACTTTCCATGAGCACATGATTTGGTCGCAATTATTTTTTTTTGCTACAACATGGGATTAATCAATGCATGCTGATGAACTTTTATCATAGTTTATAGTTATATGGAAACGAAAGAGGTAAACAATCAACCTGTTCTTTTTCATTAGTAGTATTATTTGAATTTTGTTAACGGGACTTCCTCTTTTGCTACGGGCTTCAGATGCTTTCGCTTTTGAATTTGCGATCTTGTTGTCACGTTTTACAAGAAAAGATAATTGTCTGTTATGTTTACATCTATACCTTTCACTTTTTAAGACTAAAACAAAAGATTGATTCATTGTTATTCTTAAATAAAAAGCACAATAACAATAAAACGGTAAGATACAATGACAAACAAGCTTACAAAACGTTTATTAACAAAAATGTATAAGATGAGGCATGGCCATACACCACATGCTGTATTATATACAGACTAATAAATTACAGAACGTTTAGCAAACACTGAGGAATCAAATAAAAACATAAATAAAACATAGCCTCCATAGCGTAGCGTGAGGTAAACTGCGAAGATAACAAGCTTTTCAAAATGAAAACAAAAAGAAAAGTAAAACTAAACTTGCTGTCGGTGACAGTGCTTGCATGTTTTTCCCCCCCCCACAAGAATACCAATATGTTCACCTTTGGTTTAAGAAGCGGTCACCTTCGCGCTCGTGCTGACGTGGCGAGTATAAACCAGGCTTTACACTCGAAGAGCTGCGCAGTTTAAAATAATGTTTTTTTATTCAACAAAGAATCCTGAAAAAAGTATCACAGGTTTCCAAAATTGATAATAAATCAGCATCGCATAAAATGTATTTTAAAGTATATTAACATTTTGATCAAATAAGTGCAGGCTTGATGACCATAAGTGACTTCTTAGAAAAATATTAAATAGTAATGTATCCAAACATTTGACCAAAAATTATTATTTTTTAAACATTGCCCCTATTTTACATTTGAGCCCCTGCCCCTGAGGAACTCTCTGCATGTCCCTGAAAAGGACATTGTATTCAGGCAAGACCTGACCACCTAGACGGACAGCTAGTGAACAAACTTTGTTACTTGACATGTGCAAATATAAAATTGATGCTGCCTTTAGTAACAGCCTGATGTGTAACGAAGTGGTGACAGGTTTTACAGGCAAAAGGTACATCACATTTATTGCTGTTTGGCAAATTTTCACAGGCAAAATAATTTCAAAAGGAATCCACATGATCATGAATTTCACATTAGGGTGAAAAATTCTCACACAGATTCAAGGGTTCAAGTTGGTCACGCAGATTCTCCAAGGTGACCAACAGAAAGCTGCTCTGTTTGAAAGTGTGAGCTGTGCTTTATACATCGCTACACTATTGACCATAGAAGATTTATTTGCCTGCAAAATTGTGCCAACATTTTGCTAATGTGATCCACCTAAACACAGAAAAAGTAAAATCTTTTATGAAAAATTAAAACCAGCTGAAGCTATACTGAAATTGAAAACCAAAATACAGCAACAAAAAAAAGAAAGTATTTTTTAAAATGTTCAAAACTGCAATAACTTTGCTGGTGTTTACTCTCTGAACACATAATGTTAGGCAGCACAATACATTTGTGACCATATTGGTATGAGCTGAAATAAGTGATTCTTATTTTGTATAATGTCCATCAGACACAATTTAATATTTATGACACTGCTCTTTGGAAAACTTGATTCTGAAAGATCAGTTGCAGAATTCTGCCAGCAAATATGTTTTGTATAATGACCGCTAAAGTATATAATTGACTTGTTGCCCCTGGCAGTCAATTTCCTACATGGCTGTGCTAGTTTGTATGTCTCTCGTACCACTCTATTTTAGACGGACTTTTGTTTTCTGTATATTCTATATTTCAATGTATCCCTTTAAAAGTACAGATAAACTGGTGTAGTATCTTTTTATATCGACTATAACATGAATGTAATTATAAGCTTATTGGTTAAAATTTGTATTTCAGTGATTAAACATTGAATATAAGAGAAGTCTTTTGAAAGGAAGTGAAATGAATGAGGACAGAAAGAGAAAATGATCTTTTTCTGGAAAGGGTGGGGATTACCATATAATCTCAGTTTTATTACATGTTATTTATGGGTGAATGAGTCCTCAACAGGGAAATTTCACTTCATTAAACAAAGATTGTTATGATGTTATTCAATTTGGGCTCTCAGAATTAAGTTAAAGGGATAGTTCATCCAAAAATGAAAATCCTGTCATCATTTACTCACCCTCAAGTTGTTTCCACTCGGTATAATTCCAATTCTTCTGTTGAACACAAAAGAAGATATTTTGAAAAAAGGAAAAGGAAAAAACGTTGATGGTCCCCATTGAATTCCATAGTATATATTTTTTTCCATACTATGAAAGTCAATAGGGACCATCAACTGTTTGGTTACCCATATTCTTCAAAATATCTTCTTTTGTGTTCAACAGAAAAAAGAAACTCATACAGGTTTGGGGTAAATGATGACAGAATTTTCATTTTTGGGTGAACTCTCCCTTTAAGTCACAAAACTGCTCCTTTCGAGTACTTGGAGAGAAAGAGTCTTGGGTCATGGCCATGTGATGAGCTGCAGTGTGTCTGTCCCTGCAGAGCTGGAGGGGAACGAGAGATGGCTTCAGGCTCTGCTACATGGATTACGTAGGTTTACACACTACATGCATACTCACTATTGGAGTGGACTCTAATCAAGCGTGTTGATTTCTGGGAGTGTGAATGATTCGCAGATGTATTTGCATGCCGCTATGCTCTCAGATTCCAGCTTACAGAGTGCTGATGAGCCTGATGATCTGTTAATGTGTGTGAGGAAGATTCTGAATAACTGCTATCTGTGTGTTTTCACACTGGAGATTGCTGCTTTTGATGCAGGGGTTATGATGATTTGAGCTTTGACATTTTCACCTTCGGCAACAAAAGAGTGTCATAGAATGCTATCCAGTAATCATCTGTTTGACAGTCATCTTTGTATGGTTTTGTCCATGTGTGCAGATAAATCTCGGGCATTCTCTCCTCTTGCGGACGGTAAAAAGATTCCCGGGGCTGATGATATTCGGGCTTTAGGTCTAGGCCGACCAGTGATGTCACCGTACCAGCTCTCTCCCAGAGACATGGCCAAATTCAGCCATGAACAGCTGCTACACTACAATCCCTGTAAGACAATATAGCCCTGTTAATTAAGTCAAAAAATAATATTATTTATTAGGCATGCACTGGTACCGATACTGCTGTCCTGTACTTGTACTGGTACTCATAAAAATTTGCCGATACCACACAGCGTGTGAACAGTTCTGAGTCCAGACGAAGAAACACGGACAGCAGAAGGGACTTGTTAGAGATTAAGGATGTCTATGAAATATATGTATGTAATTCATTTAATGTTAAACATTCAATATTCATGCCTGTATAGCTGATAAGCAAAGCACACTTAGTGGATTGAGTGTGCGGTGGCACAGATGCACGAGCTTGTCGAGCAAGTATCTTTTTCTCACAGACATCAATGGAAAGTTTGTAGTTCAGTCAGATATGTCAAAAGCAAATAATTAAAACAATGCACAAGTTACTAATGTTACCTAACGGTAAGTAGAGCGAGAGTGCGCACTTCTGTTGCATGATCTTGATTGATATTCGCTCACTCGTGCATCATTTGGATTAAAACTAAATCGTAAATATAAAACAAACAAAAAATATAGGGACATTCATTATAAACAACATTTATTTTAAACATCAAGCATACCTGACTTTATTAGTCGCAGCACGTTTCAGATGAAAAAAACCGCAACTTATATTTCAGAAAATATGTTCATCGCTGTTACATGATTTATGTATAATGAGTGGTTCGCTGTGTTATTACAGCAAAACATCTTGTGATTACAGTACTCTGTCGCTGCAATGCAGCAGCTCTAATGTGCTATTGAATTACAGATGAAATACCATAAAGCAGTGGTTCTCAATTCCAGTCCTCGCGTACCACTGTTCTGCACATTTTGTATTTATCTCTGATCACTTCAGACGTTTGTTGTATTCGACCGGAAGTGCCCTGCGAAGTGGACATCACAGGATATTCCGCCATGATTCCAGTTCGAAGGGAGCATATATGTTCCATTCAAAGGGCATTAAAGTGTGCGAGACATGAATTTAAATTGTATTTATTTATAGAGGTATATTATATCACACTTCTCACTTCTCTAGTAAGTTTCGTCTGTGTGTGAAGACGCTGCAGACAGTAGTGTAGCGCAAATCCGTGAATGAATGTTCCGAAGTGAAGTAAACTTCAACAGATTTCCCGTGTGCAGGTAGTAGGGAGCAATGAACACTGTGTAGGGACCATGTCAATCTGAGAACAGTTCATTCATGGAGCTCTCTTCTAACGAGCTGATGATCTGAATCAGGTGTGTTAAATAAGAGAGACATGCAAAATATGCAGAGCAGTGGTACGCGAGGACTGGAATTGAGAACCGCTGCCATAAAGCAATAAAAACTAACAGTGAAAATATAACAAAAGCTTGTACAATACATTTCAACGGGTACAATTTTAAAAATAACTGTAGGAAATATCTGTTTGCTAAATTAAGCCAGCTAACATGATTCGTTTTTTTTTTTTTTGGTTTGTGTACCCAATATTTTGAAAAATTACAAAGGCTATGAAAAGTACAAAAAAGTAATGGTATCGGACTCGTTCTGGAAAAATTGGTATCGTTGCATCCCTATTATTATTATAAAATACTATATTTGTGTGTATTTATAGTGTATATTAAAATAGAAAACTAAAGGTTCAATTAAACTAATATTTCACACTGTTACTGTTTTTACTGTATTTTTGATCAAATAAATGCAGGCTTGGTGAGCATAAAATATTTCTTTAAAAAAAAATAAAAATAAAAGTCTTAATCATTTAAAAATTTTGCCCAGTAGTGTAAATAATACAATATATTTTTTAATCTCCCTCTTTCAGCATTGGCTCCTTCTCTACAGCCACAGGAGAGAATGGCTGCAGTGCGGCCTCTCCAAATCCCAGAACCCCCTCCTCTCATCTCCTCTGCCAAGCCTGGTGGTTCCATCACGCAGGTAAGAGCACCACAAAATCTCTCACAGTACCAATGTTCTTTGGAAGTCGTATAACTGGGGCATATCGATATTATGTATAATACATTCGGAGTGGTTTAATGGTGTATTAATGTGAACATGCATAATTACACTGGTGTACATGTTGTTTTGTATTGCAGGGTACTCCAGTGCAATTACACAACCTATCTCATGGCTCCGACCATGGAAAAATCCCAGCACCAGGATCCCTGGCTCTCTCCTGGATGGACCAGAGGAAAATGGGTGAGTTTGTGTCGTGATTGTGAGATCACACGTCAGCTGTCCATTTTCCATATCCAACATCTCTTTCTCTCTCCTTAGGAGGGTTTCCAGTGGTTAAACAGGAGCAGTTATCTCCACGCGGGGCCGCCTCCTCTCAGGCTGAGAATCTCTCCTCACAGGACTGCGCTACGTCACGGGGTGAGTTTGGGAAAAATCATTATCCCTCATCTCAATTCAGTTCTAGTTCAAAGAGATTAAAATGCAGAAATAAGGCTCATATCGTGGATAGATTGAAAACGTTAACTCTCTCTCTCACAGGCCCCATGCCAGCAGTTCAGGGTGGCAGCATCACGAAGGGAATCCCTGGCACGCGTGTGCACCAAGAACCTTCCATGTCATATCGAGGAGGTTCGATCACGCAGGTGTGGTTAATCTATATCATGCAGCTTGTTTTCTCTCACTAGCATTGAGCTGGTGCATTGACTCTCATGCGTATGGAACACAAAGCATTTACAAGCTTGCCATCTGTCATGTACAAAGGAAAATTCACAGTGAACTTGAACATATTTTTGGATACAACTGTGCCAGTGCATTTTTCTGTGACGTGATGTTCTCATTCCTCTGAAACAAGAGCCTGTTGGCTCATCCAAGCGCCATGATGTGCGCTCCATCATTGCCAGTTCTCCTCGACCTTACTCTGGACTGTCCGCTCATCTAGAGCTTAGGCCAGAGCACAGAGGGTCTGACAGGGCCCTCTATGAGGAGGTAGGGTGCAAATCCCGACCAAGCGCTGTGGTCAGCACCCCCAGCTCTCTGTCCCGTACCTCTCCATTGGCACTCATTGGAGAGCAAAGCAGCAGACCCCACCACAGTCCAGTGGGCTATGAAGATCACAAAAGATCCGGCTACCCTCCGCCCTCACACAGAGCCTCTCCACTGTCTGGGAGAGAAACCTCACAGCGTGCACATGAAGGTATCATGTTCTACCAATCACTGGCATTCAGTAGCTGGTGTGAGTTGTATGATGTTTAAATATTGTTCCACTGTGTGTGACTTAGGCTCTAGTAAGGCCCAGCAGCAGGAGAGAAAAGCCACTCCCACCCCTCGAGAGATGAGCTCCACCAAGTCTCCACTGGCAGTTGGTGAGCACACTGCGTCTTTGGCTTACGAGAGGATCCTGCAGGGGCTTGGAACTGAGATGTTCCATGGCCAGATACCTCTATCGTTTGACCCTGCAACTCTTCCCAGGGGAATCCCGATTGACCCAGGTATTTGCGGTTAAGCAGCACAATATTAGGGTAGAAATTTCCATGATTGTGGAAAACTTTGAATTATCAGGGAACGTGTGATTTCCAGACCAGTTAAGTTATAAAAAAATCAGCCTTGGTGAACAAAATAGACTTTAACAAACCAGCCCCAGACTTATAAGAGGGCATGTATTTGAAAATAAATGTATTATATCATGTATTTTGTAATGCATTTCTTGCTTTGACTTTGTTTCTTGTCTACACAACAGCGTATTACCTGCCTCGTCACCTGGCCCCTGCCCCTGGCTACCCTCACCACTACCCACCCTACCTGATTAGAGGTTTCCCTGAAACAGCAGCCCTGGAGAACAGACAAACGCTCTTCAACGACTACATTACCTCCCAGCAGATGCACCAGTGGCCAGCCGCTGCTGCCATGGCTGCCCAGAGACCTGACCTGCTCAGAGGCCTGACGCCTCGAGAGCAGTCCCTTAACTTAGCCTACTCACCCACACCCAGAGGTGAGGGGTCCTTAAAGGGGCTTTTGCCCTTCACATTATTTTAGTCTTCTAAAGAAACAGAGTACAATTTAAGTCATTATTCACTGACAATTGCATGAGATTAATAAACAATAGTATTTTTTTTTTTTTTGGGAAAAACTATTCCAAATGACCTGGTGGAAGCTGTCATGTAGCTTAATACAAAAATAGGCAATGCTACCTAAATAATGGGCAGTCATATTAAAAATGACATGTTATATACTTATGATCATCAGAGGCACATTCATTTTTACTTTCCATTTGCAGGAACATCTGCATCGCCCATGAATCGTATCACATACATCTCAGGAACCTCTCCAGCTTTCCCCAGCGGAGCCTACAACACCTCTCCCATCTCACCAGGTATAGAGCAACACACTCACTCAAACACACAACATGATGATTTAAAAATAAATTTTCTGTATAAGCGCCATTCACTTCACTTTATAACTCTATCTCTTAACAGTGGGAGCCTCTCACATGAGCAAGATCCAAGGCAGTTCGACATCCTCAGAGAGAGAAAGAGAACGGGAGAGAGAGAGAGAAAGAGAGAGGGATCGTGAGAGAGAGAGAGAGAGGGACAGGGAACGAGAGAGAGAGCGTGAGAAAGATCGGGACAGAGAAAGAGACAAGTCCCTCGGTCATGGTAACGTGGAACATGCCCCTATATGGAGACCAGGTGAGCGCCCTCACTGCCTTTTATTTTTAACGTGTACAGCCACTTTATTGAACGTCTTTGTATCATCTTCATTGGGGGCTTTTCTCATCAAATATTTATGGAATTAGATGTGCTTAATTTAGCTTGTTGACAGATTTTAATTTAATTAACTTAATAAATCATTAACTGTTTTACAGCTGTTATTTTAGTACCATTCATATAGTTTTATAATATTTATTCATGTTTATTTGACTTTATTTTTTATTTTTTAGTTTATTTGAAGATCCAAGGCAGTTCGACATCCTCAGAGAGAGAAAGAGAACGGGAGAGAGAGAGAGAAAGAGAGAGGGATCGTGAGAGAGAGAGAGAGAGGGACAGGGAACGAGAGAGAGAGCGTGAGAAAGATCGGGACAGAGAAAGAGACAAGTCCCTCGGTCATGGTAACGTGGAACATGCCCCTATATGGAGACCAGGTGAGCGCCCTCACTGCCTTTTATTTTTAACGTGTACAGCCACTTTATGGAACGTCTTTGTATCATCTTCATTGGGGGCTTTTCTCATCAAATATTTATGGAATTAGATGTGCTTAATTTAGCTTGTTGACAGATTTTAATTTAATTAACTTGATAAATCATTAACTGTTTTACAGCTGTTATTTTAGTACCATTCATATAGTTTTATAATATTTATTCATGTTTATTTGACTTTATTTTTTATTTTTTAGTTTATTTTAGTAGTTACAGTGGGTTTAGAAAAGAATCACCCCCTTTAAAATAATCAAATTTTGTTGCTTTGCAACCTGAAAATCAAGACGGACACAGTTTTTGTTTTATCCAGCTGTATTTACTCAGTGCAGCTTATAACATCCAAGTGAAAGATATAACACCAACATGTTTGAAAAGAATAAAAAAACAGAATTACTGATTTGGAAAAAGGATCACCCCCTTGTGTCAGTACTTTGTTGAACCACCTTTTGCTTTTGTTACAGCCTTTAGTCTGTTGGGATATGTCTCTCTCTCTACTAACTTTGCACGTCTAGACTTTGCAATATATGCCCACTCTTCTTTACAGAACTGCCCAAGTTAAATTTGTCAGTTAAAGTCAGTTCAATTTGATGGTGTCCGTTTGTGGACTGCACTCTTCGTCATTCCACAGATGTTCAGTGGGGTTTAAGTCTGGGCTCTGACTAGGCCATGCAAGGACATTCACCTTTTTCTCCTTCAATCACTGTGTGCTCCGTTTTGCTGTGTGTTTTGGGCCATTGTCATGTTGGAAGGTAAACCTTCTTCCCATTGACAACTTTCTGGCAGAGGACAGCAGATTTTCCTCAAGAATTTGACGGTATTTTGCCCCATCCATTTTTCCTTCTATCTTGACAAGTGCTCCAGTCCCTGCTTCAGAGAAACACCCGCATAACAGGATATTACCACCTCCATGCTTTACTGGAGGAATGCTGTTATTTGGATAGTGAGCTGAATTGGATTTCTGCCAGACATATCGTTTGGTGTTGAAGCTTTTGATGATCCTTTTTCCAACTCAGTGATTCTGTTTTTTTATTTTATTTTTCTGACATGTTGGTGCTATGTCTTTCACTTGGATATTATAAGTTTCACTGAGTAAATACAGCTGGATAAAACAAAACCTGTGCCCGTCTTCATTTCAGGCTGCAAATCAACAAAATGTGATTATTTTAGGAGGGGGTGGGGGTGATTATTTTCTATACCCACTGTATGTAGTTTTATCATTTTTATTAGTTTTTGCGTTTTTATTTCTATTTAGCTTTAATTTATTTTAATTTCAGTTTTAGTTGTATTAATTTTAGTATTTCAACTTCAATATATATTTCAGTACAGTTTTTCATCTGATATTTCTATATATTTTTATTTTATTTCAGCTTAATTTAAATTTTTAATACACAAATTTTACAGCTGTAGTTATAATTGAAATAATATCGAGTTGTTCTGTGTCAGTGTACTTTAGCAAATAGCAATATGCAGATCAGCATTGCTAAATGTCTGAACATTGTGTCCAAACAGGAGCTCCAGAACAGATGGGTGGCAGCAGCAGCAGCAGTTCTCGTCCCCCATCTCATCCATACAGTCACCAGTCGTCTCCGCTCTCCCCCCGTCCCCAGGACTGCCTGCAGCAGAGACCCAGTGTTCTGCACAACACCAGCTCAAAGAGCCTGCCCAATTCTGAGCACAATAGTCCCTCTGTGCTGCGGTGAGTCTTCACTGCTCAATCTGCTGTCTGAGCAGTCCATTGAGGTAAACATGTTGAAGTTGTCTCTAATTTGTTTACCTTTCTTCAGGCCACCGGGCTCTGCTCGCTATCAGGGCTTTAGTGGGCACCTTCGGTCTGGTCTAGCCAATGAGGGTTACCCATCTGGTACAGACTCAAACGCTAAAGACTCGAGCAGAGATGGGGGCAAGAGCCATGGGCGTGGAGGTCTGCCCAAACAACAAGACCTTTCATCCTCCAGCCCTGGTGCCGGTGGTTCATACCCCTCTCCTTACAACCAGGCCTCTGGTGCCCACCTTGGTCTGCCCACAAGTCGAGGGCACCACTTGCTGACTTCCGAAAGCAACAGCGGCAGCAGTTCCATCCCGTCTCGTGGTGGGGATGGCATCAGCAGCGCGTCAAGTAGGGAAAAGACTCAAAACAAAGTGATGTCCATACAGGAACATGAACTTCGAGCACTCGGTAAGACCACCATGTCAGCGGCCAACTTCATAAACGCGATAATCATGCATCAAATTTCTTGTGATGCGGCGATGCCAGAGACTGGTGCGCTCGCGACCAACGGCACCTGTGATGGTAAGACGCTCTGGGACCTGTGGGCTATTAATGCCACCTTCCCTACCCTCCCCTCCTCTCCCCGTCCTTCCTGTTCTCTACCAGTCCACCCAAGACATTTCCATCCCTCCACCCTTCCTCTACCCCTCCTGTGCCCCTGCCCCATTCCCGCCCCCTTTACGTCTGTGGCCTAGTGCACGCTTGTGGTGGTTGGCATTGATCAGAATCAACCCAGTTTCCATATTCTTTCGGTTTTGTAAAATTTTTTTTTCTTTGAATATGCTTCTACCTATTGCTTTTTAGCTTTTTTGGCATCTGAAGCATTGCTTAAAGACCACCAAAGGTTTACCTCCCCTTCTGCATCACCTAAACCCGTCTGACCGTTTGCCAAATCCAAATTTTGAGGGGAGATTCTGCACGTTTCAGTCCAAACTTCCACAAATGAATTTATTGAAGCTCATTAAATGATTTGAGCTTCTGCTCTGTAACGGCCACAGGCGTATATCTAGGTGAACTGGTAAATCACTGTACGCCCTAACGGTCCAGAATGACGTGTCTGGAGACAAGCTTTCTAGACCAGAGAGAGATCCTGAGGTGAACTTTAAGAGCTCAGTCATTCCAGTCATGTGGTTGCTCATTGTTTCATAACGTCTTTATTGGCTTGCCTCTTGTGTTCCCCCTTTATCTTCTTCTACTTCTTTTTTTTCTTTTTAAATTTGGGGAACATTCCATAGCTCTTCGTGTTTGCTTCCCGTTTCATTTCCTTTTTGGGAGGGAGGGCACTCTGGCACTCTGACAGTTTGATAGCTGCATGAAGCAAACAAATTATACAAGTTATAGAGAAAGAGGGTCAAGATGGATCTGGAGCTGAATGATTTTCAAGGTCTTTGGTTCCTAACGATTGTTGAATATCAGCCATCGTATTGAATCTACAGCCAAAAGACTGAAATCTCACTCGTATTAAACACATGAGGCTTGCTTTTAGTACACTATTGTTTGGTTTGTGGTGAGTGAGATTGAGAAGTGAGAAGTTATTTATAATGTTACCAAAGTTTTCTGTTTCAAATAAATTCAGTTCTTTGTTTGAGAAAGAAAAAAAATCACAGTTTCCATGAAATATTAAGAATATTAAGTGATAATAATAAGAAATGTTTCTTGAGCAACAAATCAGCATATTATAATGATTTCTGAAGGATTATGTGACACTAAGACTGGAGTAATAGCTGCTGAAAATTAAGCTTTGTCATTACAGGAATAAATTACATTTATAAAAATGGTAACAGTTTACAATAAGGTCTTATTTAGTTTAATGCATTAGTTTACATGAATTAACTGTGAACAATACATTTATAGCATTTATACATTTTTGTCAATTATTAAAAATGCAATTGTTCATTGTTCATGTTAAGATACAACTTTTGATTTAAAAAATGTTAGCAAATTTAGAAATGTATAAGATTAATAAATGCTGTAGACGTGGTGTTCCAAGTTAACACAACGTTAACAAATGAAACCTAATTTTAAAATGTTACCAAGAAATATTAAAATAGAAAGAAGATATTTTAAATTGTAATAATATTCCACAATGTAACAGTTTTACTGTATTTTTTATAACAATAAATGCTGCTACAGTGAGCATAAGAGACTTCTTTCAAAAAACATTGAAAAAATATTACTGTGCCCAAACATTTGAAAGGTAGTGTAAATTGTTAGGACCATATTTATGAGGGGGGGGGGGGGGTTCTTCAAAAATACTAAAACAGTTGTCATGTGTCTGACACTCTTATGTGGGATCAAAATCAATAATTCCTTGTGATTCACATCTCTACATTTAACCAATGTTGTTCTTGGATGTGCTTACAGTCTATTAAGATTTTTCAATCCATTTGAATTGAATCCATGAATTGTCAATGTAAATATTATTGCTTTTGTTTATATTATTTTTAATATGTAGTTTAAACCATTTATATGTGAGAGGCTTTCTCAAAACTGCCAAAAGAATGAATACAATTATTAAGTGGAATCGGAATCATACAGTAGCCCTTAATCAGGTGTTACCACATTTGTCACTCATTATATACTTTTTTCTGTTGTAAAGATAAGAATGGGTAGGGTCAAAACAGTGGGAAAATCCAAATGTACAGCTGCAGAAAAAGGAAAATATCTTTGGCTCTTTGGCCTGGTAATAACAGACATATCCACCTCTCCTATCTTCACAGCTCATTTTAAACACGCATTTTGCTTCTGTTTTATTGTTGTGTTTTTGTTCAAAGCATTTCTGCTAATCGGCACAATGCTTACACTCCGCTACAGTCAGATGCCTCCATAATGTTGACTTGATATCTGAACACACGTGTGAGCAAGTCATTGAGTACTGTAATCCCAGAGCCTGTATGTGACCGCACAGCTTACACACCCGTCTCTGCTCTTACCCTCAGAGTAATCCAGAGCCTTCTGACATACCATACTCAAACGCACTTTCATATTTTCTTCTCTTCCCGTCTATGTGTGCTTCCCTGTCCTCTCTGCAGCTCACCAAAAGGCACTAGAACAGCTGTACGGGTCTGAGGACAGACTTTCTCCAGGTCAGCAGCCGCCGTCTGCCGTCAAAGGCTCTCAGAGAGTGGTCACCCTCGCCCAGCACATCAGTGTAAGTGCTACAAAATGAAACAAAAATGTCCCTGCACAATAAAACAATCTAAAAAAAAATATTTCCAGTGGGCAAATATTGCCCTTTTATGGAAAATTTATTTCAAACCCTGGTCAGAACCATCTGTTTTATAGTTTATGCAGTATCACAGAAAGAATAGTTGCTGTTCTGAATATAAATGTGTACTTTTCACCTGCTTGCACATCACCAAATGGATGTCTTCACTTTACAGGAGGTGATCACTAAAGACTACACACGACAGTCGCAGCAAGGCCAGATAGGTGGTCAATCATCTCTACAGCCTGTGTTTGGGTATCACAACTCCCCTGTGCTGGATCTCACCCGTCCTTCCAGCGCCCCCCAAGCCCAGACCCCAACAGACCCCAACGCCCGCTATACCCCAGAAGGCACTGCTGCTGAGAGGGAGAGAGGGAGAGACAGGTCTCCTCCTCAGAGTAAGGCCTCTCCAGTTTGTCTGGCTGCTGATGGGATTGAACCCGTTTCACCACCAGGGGCCGTTTCAGAGCCGGAGACGCCAGGAGCCGCCTACCCTAATGAACAAGCAGAGCAGGGGTATATAACACACGAGCAGATGCACTTACACAATAGTGATGACTGTTGGAATCATTGGAGCGGATCGGTTCTTTTGAACAATAAATTGTTCAAAACAACAATTCAGGGGTTCTCAGTCTGCACAGACTGATTCTATCCAATGGACTCTTTTCACATTTCCTTGGTTCACAGAGGTGGAAGTCGTCATAATTGGTTGAACTTTAGTGGTGGATAGAAAACTACAACAGATATAATTTTTGCATTTCCATTTGTTAATGTTAATAACTGTGGAAGCACATCATCACAGTCTGCGAAAAGGGTCCATTCTTGAACAAATCAATAAAACTATTTGACACAGTAAAAGGATTCATTCATTAATTGGACAACACTAGCACACAGACAAATAAACAGTCTTTCATCCTACATTTTCATTACTCGTTCTCTGCTTTTGTGTCTCAGTATGGGATCTCGTTCTCCGGCCAGTAGCTCTCAACCACCAGCTTTCTTCAGTAAACTGACTGAGAGCAACTCTGCCATTGTCAAGAGCAAGAAGGAAATGATTAAGAAGATGGTGGTCGGCGCAGAGGCTGAATTTAGTGAGTTAATGGGACTGAATCTGTTGTACAATATATGTTATTGTTGCTAGCTAAAGGGCTCAAACTTATCTCTTCCGGTCTCTGTTTTAGACCAGGGCCAACCTGGGACAGAAATCTTTAATATGCCTGCCTCTACAAATGCAGGTGAGCATCTCCTCCAGTTGTGGTCTATTCTCTACAATAGCAGTTCATTTTATACTACTGTCCTGTGTCTCAAAGAAAGCTTGCCAAATAACACTTCACACACTCCTGTTTCTTTAACACAACCACTGTTACATCTCTTTTAGCACCCGTGAGCGTGCGCAGTCACCCAGCACCAGAGGCCAGTGGTAATACTATAGGTCTGGAGGCCATCATCAGGAAAGCCCTCATGGGCAAGTATGATGAACAGATGGATGATCGCTCACCGTCCAACTCTGTCAACTCGATGAGTGTTGGTGTGCCAGCTGCTGTTGGGCCGCCAGCTTCAGCGGATGGGCGTTCTGAAGACCCCTACTCCCTGCCAGGTGCGCCAAATAAATCCTTGATAATTCAGCTACCTTCATGGCAGCAGGTGTCAGGTTTTGGGGCCATTTCTTTGACCAAATGTCCTCACAAAGATAGTAAATTATTAACAGCATGTGATAAATTGTTACATAATGTGCCTGTATTTAATGCACTTGTGTTTTCTTATCCTGCATTTTTTTTTTTTTAAAGGGAAAGTAACACAAGCTGTTTGATTTGGCACTTGCCTTATTTTACTAGTTTTTACCAAGAAACAGGTGAATTTGTGCCAAAATATTGTTTAGTTCTTTTCATGTCTAGAACAAAATAAGCATGGTCTCTGCTGTCTATTAGTTGCATATGCATAGTTTTTCCCTGTTGTCCATGACCCTATCAGAACAGACCTGCAAACCATTTTTGATACACGCTCCACCAGTTGACAGTGATTTTGGAAACACATTCAGGCATTTTAATATTTGTTTGTCCGAATATCTCTGATTTGTGTCCTGTGTTTGGATTCAGTCAAATCCAAGGGAGGGCGCTCTAACGGTCGCAAGACTAAGTCTCCTGGTCTGTCTGGAGGAGAGAGACCTTCATCTGTGTCCTCTGTCCACTCTGAGGGAGACTGTAACCGTCACACCCCACTCAGCAACAGAGTGTGGGAGGACAGACCCTCATCTACAGGTACAAACACAATCACAGTACGATTGAGAAACTTATTAAATATTAGCAACATATGTCAACTAAAATAACTGAATCGATTTCAACTAATATTTCAAATCATTATAAAATACATTTTGAGAGAAATTAATAATTTCAGCAATGTTGCAATAATTTGATCAATAGTGACTTTTTATTCATCAAAAAATCCAAAAAAGAAATACATCAGGGTTTTCTACAAAAATATTAAGCAGCCCAACCATTTTCAACATTGATAAAAGTCAGAAATGTTTCTTGAGCATCAAATCAGCATATTAGAAGGATTTGTGAAGGATCATGTAAATTCAGCTTTACCGTCATATGAATTAATTCTATTTTAAAATACATTCAAATAGAAAAGTTATTTTAAATTGCAATAATATTTCACAATATTACTGTTTTTACTGTATTTCGATCAAATAAATTCAGCCTTGATGATCATACTTCTTTTAGAAACAATAAAAAAATCGTATCGAATGATACTGTGCATTTTATTTATCTATATTTTCTGATCTTTTTTTCTGGTTCCTCCTCTCAGGCCCCACTCCGTTCCCCTGTAATCCCCTGACCATGCAGATGCGTCTCCCCAGCGGGATGATGTCGGGACCCTCACCTTCCCCTACGCAGCAGGGCACGTCTGTACCTCCACAGGGCCAGACTCAACCCCGCACCTGGGAGGAAGAGCCCAAACCTCTGCTGTGCTCTCAATACGAGACCCTGTCAGACAGCGAGTGAACACACACCTCACGCCGCATACACTAGGACTGAACGTTTGCTGCTTATGAACAAAAACTTGTTACTGTAAACAGGGATGTTCGTGAACACACACGTACTCATGTCCACACTGACATACACTTACGGGAACACACACGCCATCTGCGCTCATGCCCTCTGATACCTCTAAACATATTCATACATACAGAGACACACATCCCATAACCCACCCCAAGCGCGCACACTCACGCCATTAGTGGAAGTGCATTAAATGGCTGCAGACGCGTGTTGTGTCAGTGTGTTTGTGAATGCGCACACATGTATTAGCGTGTGCATCACTCCAGGACTACTTGTAGGATGAATCACTTTTTAGTTTTTTTTTTAATATGAATATATATAAATACTCCTATTTGTGTCGTCTTGCAGGCCTTATCAGAGTTGACTCATGGACTGAATCTGTTTTGTTGACGCGTTTTGGAGCATTCCTCAGACTGCTCAGGACACACCTTTATACTGTAATACAACTGCAAATTGTTTGTTTTGTGTGTGTGTGTGTGTGTGTGTGTGTGGTGTAATGCAAAGGCTGGATGAATCCTCTGCAGAAATGAGCACCCACCCACACACACGCACGTATGCCCTCATGTGCATCTGCAGTCCTTCATGATGGTTCATGTGTTGCCAAGATGAGCCTGTTGTTGTTGTTTTTTACGGATCTGATGCTGTTGGGCCTTCCGAGTATGTGTGTGATGAAACAAGACCTTCAGAGAAGCACGTTAGCCAATCCCTGCACTAAACTGTACTGGTATTTAAGCAGATTTAATTTTATCCTGTAACATTCTGTCCTTACCTTGCTACTTCTGAGAGTTTACATGGGCGGCCAAATCATTGGTTTACAGGGTACACATAATGTTCATTTGTTGACATCAAACCTTCATTTTTTACTTTAGTTTTGACATTCAGAAGCGTCTCTAGCTGACCAATAATACGTTGTCTTTTCAGTCGTCTCTGTGATAGTTGATGGGAGATGTTTTTAGTTTTAAACTTTTTTTTATGTACATGATCCTTGTTTGGAAGGTTTTTTGTTTTTTTTTGTGATGAGTTAAGCACTTAGTAGGCAAACGGTTCCTGTCTGTGTCCTTTAACGGACGCTGACCTGAATGCAACTTTTAATACAGCATTTATTTGTTTACTTTCTTATACAGTATTTTGTTGATTTGTTTCGTCACCTACCTAGTCAAGTGTTCCACACTCTAGCGACAATCACTGGCAGAGAGTTGAGCGAGTGGACACGTCTTTAGGGGAAGCTGCTTTGTCAGGTCTGAATGTTCCCAGTAAACCTGATGTTTTTCACGTCATCTATTTGTTGAAGAGTTAAAGCCATGCTGTCTGGCCAGTCCTTTGACATGACACTCACTGAGAGCTGCTTTACTTTTGCTCTTTGTGCTTGACCGAAGGGTTCGGGATGTTTTTTTTCTTCCTGTGGGCGAATTTGAGGAGATGATGTATCCTGCGTAATAAAATAAAGAGGTGAGCAGATGCCACACCTCATATAACCTGTAGTCCTTCACTCTGTACAGTTTTAAATATAATTCTAGTGTTAAGTGCCATGTATTTGACATATACATTTCTGAAGTTAAAACTACCAAGTGACTACGCACAATTGTTTGTTTTTTAAAATTTGTTTCTTTTCTCCTTGCTATGTCAGGGTTGTACAATTTGTCACACAGGCACAATTTAAAACCATGAAGGAGACATTTACCGTGTCAGTCTCCTCTCCAAAATGCCTCTTTTTTAGGACCACCTCAGCGGTGTGGTTACTAATTGTTTTTGCATGCATATTAGATATAATGAAATGTTTTAATTCGTATTGTTTAACTTTTATTTGTCACATGGTTTTACTATGAAAGGTATCTTTAACAGTTCAAACTGCAATACTCAATGTAATCTCCAGACTGGGGATATTTTTGGAAGCTAATTAAAGGATGAAACTTAAAGTTCATCAGTGGGTTTTATCCGGTTTGGGAGCTTTTGTTATTGCTTTGGTGATCGAGGACAGATTTAGTGCACTACCTAGTGTGGTTTTGTAAAAAGGGGCTTTATCTTCAGTCACTTCAATCCCAAATACACTCATATCAAGATCCCTGAATGGGGTGTGTGAACAGTAGCTATACTTTTTTTTTTTTACACACCATAACTTCTTCACAAACATCCCAGAATGCTCTGCTCTGATTTTGAGATTCATTCTCTGACATATCACTCCAGACAGTATTGTATTTAGTGGACAAGTCTCTCTAAAGTTCAGTGTTTTCTTGTACAACGAGCCCTCTTTCCTCTAAATTGACTGTTTGACCTTTTTACTGAGGACAGTATTGCACTTTCCTCAGATGAGGAGGCATTCTCATTTGTAACTGATAAACATAAATGAAGCTGAGAGATTAAAATAAATGAAGAGGAGAGAGGTGGGAAAACAGTAGTAATAGTCGCCCCTCTTAAGATTGGAAAGGTTAAGTGGGTATTTGGGTGGCATCTGTTTTTGTACAACCATTTTGTGCATAGTGCATTTTGTTTTTGTTTTGTATTAAGACCCACTGTATTATAGCGAGGAGTGTAAATAGACCTAAAAGGATGTACATATTTATGTGATTTGCTGCAAGATTGATATTCACACTGTTGTATTTCAACATGGCCACCAGCAAGCTTTGTGGATAGCAGTGTAAAAATTAAATTGAAAAAAAAAACAGACACTGCCTTAATGTTTAAATAAAAAGCTTATTGCCATTGATTTGTCTTTTTTCCTTTTTTTTTCTTCTTTTTTTGATTGTGCCACTGTTGTGATTTACATTGGCCACCAGCAAGCTTTGTGGATAGCAGTGTAAAAATTAAATTGAAAAAAAACAGACACTGCCTTAATGTTTAAATAAAAAGCTTATTGCCATTGATTTGTCTTTTTTCCTTTTTTTTTTCTTCTTTTTTTGATTGTGCCACTGTTGTGATTTACATTGTTCTGTTATTGGTAGTATGTATTTATTTGTAATTTATAATGTTTCTTAATCCTGGTCCTGGAATACCTCAGCAAGCCGGCGGAGGCAGTGTGATGCTATAGTTTGGGCAATGTTCTGCTGGGAAACCTTGGGTCCTGCCATCCATGTGGATGTTACTTTGACACGTGCCACCTACCTAAGCATTGTTGCAGACCATGAACACCCTTTCATGGAAACAGTATTCCCTTGGTGGCTGTGGCCTCTTTCAGCAGGATAATGCACCCTGCCACAAAGCAAAAAGGGTTCAGGAATGGTTTGAGCTTTCCAGAGGAGAGACCAGAGAACAGAAAGGCCTGAAAACGGAGGCCGAGGTTGTTCTGTTTCTGTTCACGTGAGTAACATTGGTTTTGCTCATAGACGGTAAAAAAAAAAAAGATGTACGACGCGTCTCCACTTCCTTCCACTGTAGAAAAGTGAAGCCAAAACATGTATGGCCGTCATTCAGAGCTGCAAGTCCGCCTAAACTCCCTCAGACCCAGTCGCAAGCTTACAATCATGACACCACATCCCGTTTTCATACACGAAAATTAACCATGGTTTTTGGCGTATTGATTACCATTTGTAACAGTTAAACTATGATTGGTGTAGGAAAGAAATATACAAAAATAAAAAGGCCAAAAAATATATTTGCTAAAACATTTATATATTTACGAAATTAATTTTCTAAAATATTTTTAATATATCAAAAAAATGTGCATTTTTTGCATAATTATTTCCAATATATTTTAAATATTTGTATATTTTGCTCTCCATATTTCAATCCAAGAAAATACGTTCACACATGTCGCAAAAGTTAAAAATCTTTGTTGTCTATACATGTAATCGTAACACATTTGCATAAAAATTCAAATTAGAATATTACAATATTTCATGTTTAAATTAAATATTATTTCACATTTAATATGTAAAATTACAATATTTGTGAAGAATTCTTGTAAATCGGGACACAGTTTGCCACTGAGTTGACTGGAAAAAATGGCCCAGTTATCCTGAATTAACCCCTAGCAACGCCTCATATTTGTTAAACACTATTTGAAGTTTCCTTGCATTATGCTGATACTCAGAAAGGTTGCCAGAAATTGTGTGCTCAATGAAAAGTAAGCAATATAAGTAATTAAAATCATTGTGAATCATTACAATAAACAAATGCATATGATTAACTGCATAGGAAGGGAAATATTAGCCTTAGGCCTTGTAAGCACATCAGATTTTGATTGGCTGACTGTTCTTCTAGGTGCTAATGGGAAATGTGTCTGTTTTAGGAGCCTACTAGGTATGTTTTGTTTATGTGCCTTACTGTTCACAGAAGAGCGAAAACATTCAACATTTTATATTTAATAGCAGTGGAAACACTTCGTTTAAGCACGGTCTCCATCCTGTAAAGCAAATTCAAAGAACTGCAATCCAAATTCTTGAGTACCAGTTCTTTTATGACTCAGTCAAGACGATTCGCCAAATGTTTGCAAATCATTAAACTGGAAAAGTTCGTTTGAAAGTAAAACTGTAAGGCGTGGGGAAAAGTAGGCAACATAAGCTTTTGCTAAAGCAGGTAGGGAAACATACACGAGAGACAGGAGCAGAAATTGACTAACTAATACACAATTTATACATTTCAAAATATATACCCTTCATAAATATAGTGATATCAGCACACAGCTTTTGTGATTCTGTAAAATAAACATATAGCATTTACTGTATTAAACCTGATCTAGCCTAAAGCAAGCTTGAACGTATGGATTAAAATGATATACGCTCCAAAAAGCCCCAATACCTCTCTCACTGCTGGCAGTTTTTATAAGAGAATGGTGGAAGGGTTTTTCATCTTAAGCTGGAAAGTATTTAACCTTGTTGGAAAATGCTGTGTAAGTGATAATGTGAATGGAAATCAGAGACCCAAGAAGACAAACATACAGCCGTTTTAGGGTTTGGGGCTTTTATTTAATCAGTTTGGATATACTTTCTTAAATTATTTTCTCATCTGTTGTCCAAAAAGAAGATTGATTATCGATTTTTCTTTTATGCCAAAAATCATTAGGATATTAAGTAAAGATCATGTTCAATGAAGATATTTTGTAAATTTCCTACCGTAAATATATCAAAACTTAATTTTTGATTAGTAATATGCATTGCTAAGAACTTCATTTGGACAACTTTGCACCCTCAGATTCCAGATTTTCAAATATTGTCCTATCAAACAAACCATACATCAATGGAAAGCTTATTTATTCAGCTTTCAGATGATGTATAAATCTCATATAGCTTCTATTTTCTCAGCCAGTTCTAATAATCTACAAATTAATGCCAATAGAGCTTAGTCATGGTTAACACATTTAATTGAACACCTCTGTGTTAAATTCAATACAGCATCTAACCTGACTACGATCTAGAGCAGTGGTTCCCAAACCTGTCCTGGAGGCCCCCCTGCCCTGGGCCTCTTGTATGTCTCCCTTCTCTAACACACCTGATTACACTCATCAGCTCGTTAGTAGAGACTGTAATAACTATTGGGTGTGTCTGATTAGGGAGCCATACAAAATGTGCAGGGCAGGGGGTTTTCCTCCAGGACAGGTTTGAGAACCACTGGGCTGTGTCCGAAATCGCCCCCTATACCCTCATTCACTATTCCCTACATTAGGTCACTAATTCAGTTCACTAGAAGGAGTGAATGAAAACGAGTAGTGAATTCTGACACTGAGTGCACTGGAAGGAATGCCGCTTCTGCATAGTGTGTGCTTGCTGTTTATTAATCATTTGAAACTAGCAAACTAGCAGCTCCAGTAGTAAGATTCAAGGATTTATCGTGAACTCTGTCACGGAAATTATGTATAAACCCTAATCAAACAATTTAATAATCAATTTACAGTGAATTTATACCCGTGTTGTACATTATGCTGTACGCCACGGATGAGCGCTTTGTATAAATGAATGGATTGATTATTCAGCTGCGGGCGCCATCTTCTGGCGAGATGCGGGAATTCATTCGGCACGTGACTCTCACGGTGCATTATGGGCATTCTCTAGCCGTTGAGCGTGCACCAGTTATACACTCGTTTTTGCAGACACACACACACACACACACACACCACGTGAGCGTTCAGCACCTTCCTCAGTGTCCAGCACGTACACGCTCTGCTTCTCACTCTCTGTCTCTGACACCTCATAAAACCCAATTCCTCAGCAGCATATCATCAGCCAAACCGTCATGTGATGTGACATGGGAAACGTGGGCTCTTCCTGAGCTCGAGCGGAATATTTTTAACTCTCACATCCATCAAACAGAAAATGGCATTTTGAAACCAAAATGAGCATTTCTAAATGTTGTCAGAGACTGGAAGCTGACTGCACTCATGCATGTCCTTTGGGTGGGAATCATTTTTTCCCCTCTCTACGAATCATACAACTTTGGCGGCACATGGTCATGAACAGGATGCCGTCTTCTATACCAGGGAGACACTTATGGCATTGTGCTTCATCTGTATGCGCTTTGAAATACCCGCAGAGCTGCGGAGATGACCACAACAATGGATATTTGCTTTGCCGCAAGCTAGAGGCACAGTTCAGCACAGAGGTAAACGGGGAGGTTTATGACAGCGTTTGAGGAGGAGAGGAAATCGTCCAGCTCTGCCTTCAATGATCCTGTTCAATGCCCGCTCACTATGGAATAAAATGGATGCTCTTCAGTCACAATTTATTTATGATATTGTGATGCATTTCATTTTTAAATCTGTTTTTCAATTTAACAGAGGGTGGTCTGGCTCAGTTTAAGCCAAGAAAGTGAGTAATTAGCAGCAAAATTAAAAATCCTCCCTTTACTAACATATATGCTGTTTATGAGAGGTTTCTGGCATCATGCTTTTGTCTCATGGATGTGGGCCAGTGAGAAAGGGATCGCGCCCTTGAGCATGTGCGTCTGTGTCCATATGAGTACGAGTTAAATCCAGGACGGACGGATCCACTGTGCTGTTACACAGAGTGCCGTCAGAGCACACACAAACCCTGTACACTCAGTGACATTAGAGACAGATCTCGACAGGGACAGAGCAGTTAAAGGGGTCATATGACATTGCTAAAAAAAACATTATTTGGTGTAACGCAATGTGTTTGTGTGGTTCAAGGTCAAAAAACTCATTATTTTCCACATACTGTACATTATTGTTGCTCCTCTATGCCCCTGCCTTTCTGAAACGCATCGATTTTTAAAAAGCTCATCGTTCTGAAAAGCGCGTCGTGCTCTGATTGGCCAGCTATCTAGTGCGTTGTGATTGGCCGAATTCCTCAAGCATGTGACGGAAATTCAGATTCAAGGAAATTCAAGGAAATTCAAGGAAATTCAGGTTCAGAAAACTTTCCTCCGTAAAATGCGCTGCACACACTCGAATATTTGGGTTGTACTGTTCTGGAACAGTGTTGCAAACAAAACTTAACCACTGATTTCTAGTTGTGTCTTCTTTTGGAAGGCCAAACAAAGTAGTTTGGCTTTTGCAATGAAACACAGCGTCTCCATCACATGATGGCGGCGCAACAATACTACAGTGAGAATAAAAGTTACGCCTTCTTTCTTTGTGTACACATTTGGGCGGTGTTATGCAAATCTTCCCACACAGTGATGTAGACATGTGGGGGCGTGTTTGAACGATGCGTTTTAGGAAGGCGTGGATGAGCGTTCACTTTTATAAAGAATATCTCTTTGGGTTTGAGACTTTCATCTTTGCGACTTTACGGATCTTCTGTATGCAC